GGACGACACTGGAGCCGGCAATGCCAGTGATACTGACAGCCATGATAACAAAAACAGTTCTTCTTGAAGGACGACATTAATCACTCGATATTTCGTCTTTTAAATTTACAACAAATAACAAGCCGCAACGCAACGTACATATTCCTTTGCAGATTTTTCGGTAAAAAACGCTCATCAATCGCGGTTTCAAATTGATTCATCTCTCCTGAGACGAGGTAAAACCTCGAAGTTTTGTCGCTTTCATATTATCCTTAAATTATGACCGCCTTTCGCCAAAAAACACTACTTCTTCAGGTTTCTTCGCCGCTCATCGACCGCTATAAAACCGTGGTCTGGGCTCACAGTTATATGTGGCGAATGTACGTCAGGAAATTTCGCGCATGCGTGGGCGCCATCAATGAAAGTGTAAAAACGTTGAAACGCTTGAAAGCACCCCATAAAAGTGGTAAACGTTTATTGAAACCAAAAGCAAGACGGCGGAGTCGTGCAACCAGATACAGGTCACAGATGCCGTTCGTTTTGCCGAAGTTCGAACGAGTGCAGTGCGAACGACGCTGCTGAAAACTGACGTTAAAAACGATGAATGACTGACTCGCAGTCCGTAAAAGATCAGCGCTACGTAAGTAAGAACTAACTGCCAAACAAAGCACGATTTTCTCCTCTAACTCTGCCGAACAGTCAACCCTCAAATATGCAAACACCTAACACTCGACCCTCACTTTAAAACGAACAGGCCACGCTCGATTACAATATCGTATAACAATACAGATTAGGTGATTATCAGGATGACAAATTCCTTCAAATTCTTCGGTCTATTACTCACGCATATTTTTGACATTCGAGCTCGTAGCTGTTCCTGGAAAAGCGAAAAGCCGCCACATTCCGGTTCGAACCCTCTGCAAACCTGAAGTAAACTTTACGCCCAAGACCTTCAGTTCCAAGAACTTTACCCACACTTCCATATCCTGATATAAGCAAAAAGAACTGTCTCCAAAATCTGTGTTGATGATTCCGCGTCCCTAGCCTCCAAGAAAATATCATCTAAGAATCTGCATACTTTCTCTAGTTAAGTATGCTTCGTTAATGTACGTTTTCTTCAATCCAAAGCAGGCGGACCTGTGCAAACTTGCATCAGCTCTGAAAACTGTCGGAAGAGCAGGTCGATTATCCTCTATTATTGTTGTAAACGGCGTAGTAGACTTACGGTATAGCTTTATAAACCTATTACAACCAATACATACTCCATTCCATGCATTCTTTTAAATGACACATCGAGGTCTTATCACAAGGTCTGAATATGCCGAAATATATGTAAGGACTGAGGTATATAGAAATTTGGTGATCCCACCGATGGCTCAGACTTTGCAGGATGAGGAACTGGAAAGCGGAATCTGTTCGAATCGATTTCTTCATCTTAACGCAGAAATTTACATTCAGAAGTTCAGTTACATTCATTTTCTGTGCATCAAACCCTTTCCCTGTCATCAATCCTCCTTGTATTTTCTTTATTCATGTTGTTCGTTCTTATGTAATATCTGCATATGGTTATAAAATGATAAATGATTGCTGAAATGCTACTCAGTCCTAGTTTTAGTTGCTTCATACACCACTTTAAGCAGCAACTCTTTTCACTAATTGATAATCAGTTTGATACTGTCTGAAACCTGCAGTCTTTAACAGCCGATCATTAACCTACGACGGAATTCCTTCATGCTTCATTTACTGCCAGCCACTCCGAAAATCAAGCTACTAGGAATCGGCTCACAAAAATCTATGCCAAATTCAAATATAAACAGTTCGGTCATTCTGTTTTCGCCCTTGGCCTACAACGTTGCAAAATAAAGGAAAAAATTGATGGATGAGTCTTTGTATTGATGCAGTGGCTTGGCTTATTTACTTGTACGGTTAGGATGGCATAAGTTTAAGTGCCTTCTATACCATATCTACGTCGAGACTTCAGAGATGTAGTTGGCAGATATAATCAAACCATGGGCGAGTTATCTGCCAAACAACGAATAGGGTTTAAATCGTCATTACAGTGAAATTAAATATAAAGGGCACAAGTAGCCGAACAGACTTTGGTAAAACTAGTTGAAAACAGATCATACATTAAAGTTCTAGTGTAAAATTCCTGAATTTCGTCGAAGCGTGCATTCAATTGATACATTTTCCGATTAAAATTTCTTGATGTGATTTCGCCATGCCTCTATTTAATGAAAGCAGGAACATGCAAATTGCATTAAATTCGCTAAGATGGGATATTACTGTGTTTATATCATCATTATCTGCCATCACGGGAGAGAAAAAATATCATAAGCAGAATATGATCATAATAAAATGGTCGGAAGGAAGGACCAAAAGCCATCGACAACAAAAATTCGCTTACTTCTTTCCATCCCCTGTCTACTCCTTTAGACGAGAGTGAAGGCATGTGAGCAGAGCAGTCTGAAAACCTGCAAGATGCCTGATGAATGATAACTGTAGACGAACGAAAGATGGCTTTCCAATATTTGTATGGCAAAGATATTATCCTCAACTTAACTCCAATCGTCGTTCTGAACGGTGGATGACATTTTTCGGTGTACAAATAAAGTGCGGGTTGAGTTTCCCTAATCCGAAATGTTTGGGTCCAAAATTTTTCCAGAAGTTTCGAGTACATGATATGGTAGAGTTGATGAGAATCGAGAAAAAATTCAGACTTTCAGAGAAAGCAGCACGGAAGTCACCGATACCTCGACAGTGTTTAACGGCTTACTGCGTACCCAAGCCACAGTCGTGTTAAGAAACGGGACTTTTAAGAAAACTTCTTGCCAGAAGCGTGCCCATAAGGAAAATGGCATCGATGAAGAAACTCGTAACGGATCACAAAACTCTAAAATATAAACCACTAAAACCATTAGCGCCATTTCTCACCAAAATTCTCCACTTAAACACACAAAATAACGAATCTGCATCCTTTGAATAAAAATATTTATGGCCTAAAACAGTGAGTTCATTCATATACCGAAGGGCAGCCGACTGTAAGAGTAAAGTTACGGATGTTTCACAAAAAGGGCGTAGCATCCCCTACAAATCACAAGTAAAAGAAACTCAATTATTCCACAATCGAAACGACCCGGGTTTCGTTGCAATACAACATCACCAGGTACAGGAAGATATCTTCGTACAGCTTATACAGCTTGGAAAGGAAACGAGGTTGAGAAACATGAAGAAAGAAAGGTTGGAAGTTAGGAATTAATGAGTTGATTCCTTGGCGAAATGCAAGCATAAAAATGGACGTGTTCTCCCTTTAGACAAGATAAGTAGTAATTAAATGTGCTCAAGAATGGGAGTAAACAACTTCCGATAACGTATAATATTCCGACCCTCGTTAGGGACGGACGAGGCTCTTTTCTGATTGGCCGGGTATCAGAAATGCGAATGCTGATGTGAGATTAAGAGGAAGAGGGAGGGTGCTACTGCCGTTGTTTATATTATCCAAAGATATTTAAAAAAAGAAAACTCGGCACTCAGAAACTAGTTTGATATAAATCGAAATATTTTGGAATTTTGGACTGGGGTTACCCAACCTGTATTACTCTTTTAGAAGTACTGTACTAAGCAGCCAAGCAGAATTTAAGCTTCAGCTTGTAGCAGGCTTGGATTCAAACAGTTGAATGTATGATAGTAAGCGACATGTTTTGCCATTTAGTTCTACGCCAAGAAGCCATGAGAACAATTTACACAATCGACATGATTTTTTTGCCAAGTTTCAAATCTAAGCTATCGACAACGCACATACAGCTTTACTTCTTATGACAGAGTCACTGCCACCCTCTGTAGTGCTTGACCTTACCCGGGCCCTGAAGCCATATGACGCCTGACCTTTTCGTTTGTTGTAAGCGGCGGTACCTTTTGTCTTCTGCTCTTGATACCTGTCTGATTTCTGATGCTTTCACCCCCTTTTTCGTTCTGCTACACGGCTTCTTCCGTTGTCTTACTTTGGCCTTTGTCTCCCATCATGCATGACTGCGGAACTTTGCAAGTTTTATGGCGGGCGCCAGGGGACCCTTTAAGTAGGCCATAGCTCCATGATATCATTGCAGTGCGTTGATGCAAAACCGCATGACTGCATGACTGTGCCAAAAGTCAGTCGCAGCACTTCAGTTTACTAGCAAGCAGTTATTAGTGTGCAGTTTCTCAGCAAATCCAAAATGCATCCCAAATCCCAAATGGGATTTTGTACATCTGCAGTTATTATACGTACAGCAAATTTAAATTAGGTAAATTGAATTAAATTAAATTAAAATTGAATTGAATTAAATTTAAATTGAACATTTTTCTTGTATGGTCTTCACGCTTCCTACAGGACTGCCCCAATGCAGATTTTATTATGAGTGCCCATTTTATTTTTTATCTATATTAATTAACTGATGTTTCGAGACGTATTTGGCTAGGTGTCTCAGGGCAAAAGATCCTTGTTTCAATTATGCCCAAAGGCCTGCAACTCAAATTTCAATAAGGGCAATTGTTCACTCTTGGCCTACGTAAGTTCTTTTGCTTACACTGCAACAATAACATTTTACAAATGATTCGTTCAATAAATGGTACTTACGCCGTTAAATAAGCGATAACTATAAAAAAGAATATTTTGCTATATATGCAAATGAACTGTGGTACGTCCGTTGGTACTCGTTTGACCGAACAAAGTTGTGCTGTTTAATATCGATGTGCCGTAATTAGTAAAGTACAATGGAGCTTGAGAATAAACCTGCTTTCACGGGACGATGCGCACGCCGTGTTAAATCCTTGGAAGTGACAGAACAGAAATGTCAGAATTCGATTAACGAATTTTAGCTTACGATTTCACCTATATGAATAAATTTTCTTTACTTGTCGTATGTATGATTTGTGCTGTTTATTCGTAGTCCATGGAACAGTACGACAACAGCCAGCTATTGTTACTGGCTTGACATGTACTGTACTTAAGTGCGCTTTCCTCCCGTGATACCGCCCACGCATTAACTCCATAACTGCAGCATCAACGACGACAACGACTGAATCGAAGACGAATCCGGCATCAGGGGGACGCTGTGCAGTAAAATTAATAATGACAAACGATGACGGCGCCTCGCAGAGCGGAGCGATGCCGGAGAGTCATGAGCCAGGAGCACAGAACGTGCTCGAATTTCATTACGAAAGAGCGGTGACGACGACGGGTCATGACGACGGAACGACGGCGACGGAGACGGAGACGGCGAAGTCAAATGGCAAGCGCGAAACGAATTGAAACCTGTTGTCTCGTCCCTGAAGCAGAAACAAACTTTGACGAATGTAATTTTCCGAATCATTAACCTCAATATGCGGCACGAAGGCTTTGTAAACAGTATCGAAGGGGGACGTCGACGATAAATCGACGGACGATCGAACGCCGAAGCAGCAGAACTGGTCACTCACTCAGTCGGTCGCATCGGTCAGCATCGTCGTCCGCCGTCCATTCGTTTACGCAGCTGCAGGTGCTGCTACGCCGTGTAATTCTCGTGTGAAATTAAACAATACCTGTGGATGGCGACGACGGAGAAGTACGTGAGGAAGTAGTCCTCATCTTCCGGCAAAGCACTGATCAGGAAAGGTGCTACTCCACGGTGAGGCACGGCATTGCAGTGGACACTCGTTGTCGCCCACCCCTGAGGTTGCCTCATATGGAGTTACGCCCTCAGTGTAATTGTACTGTCAACAGTATCGACAGTACCTGACCGACCAACAGGAGCAGCCGTACATCGGTGTTCAGGGAGAAATCATTTGTTTGTTTTACGAATAAGATGTAACGGGTGTCCCAGACCAAACACGGCTCACTGTGACGATCACACAACCAGCACAGCAACAACCTATACGACCGCCAGAGTCATTCGACAAGCACACGCACGGCTGCCCGATGTGTTGAGTTGACAGAAACACCGAAATGAAGTGAAATCTGTCGCAGGCACAGGAGTCAGTAAAACCTGATGGACGATGGTGCAACCGGGCCACTGGCTATTTGGCTACATGGCAACGGGAAGCGTACGCCGGGCATCGCATGTCGCGTCGTCGCCTCAGTTCGCAGCCGACACGTGGCTGCATTTACGTGCGTCTCGTCCGAAACGAGGAAGCGGTTCGATCGACTGAATGCCCTGTTTCTTAATAAAAGACACACGTGGTCTACCGGGCCAGTGGCGCACGGGTTCGACCCGGGAACAACGACGAAGCCGTTTCTTGCAACGCCAAGGCTTGCAAGTCATAATATGGACTACGAACGACACGTCTCAACGTGGCCGTAATTCATCTACCGGCAAAACGGGCGAAAAGTTTGAAATTTCGAGTCTGAGATGGCCGACACGGCGACGACTAAGAAGACTGGCTCGAAAACCAGTTATATTCTGTTTGACTGCTGCTGCTGCTGCTGCTCGGTAAGTCGCAGCATTCGATTTTGCCATTTCGCCATTCGCCACCGAATTTAAAACCTTTGCAAGACAGAAGGAAAAAAGGTGAAATTTTTTGTTTCGCCTTTTTCGTTTCTGCCTACTTGCAACCAGTCGTTACAGGGCAACACACAAAATCCATTCAGCCAGGAAGTACGAAGTCCCGCACAGGGTTTTGCGGAAATACCCTTCTTTCTCACCTCATATGCCAGTACTTTTATGTGAGAAGGAAACAGCAGACTACACAACTACACACTATGCTTGCCAAATAGCTGCTGTCGACTCGGCCTTCAAACACAGCACCTCCTACCGGTGACGCTGAAACGGATATCGACACCCAACCATTAGCTTCACGAAAAGAAATGCACCACAAATGGTTCCTAATCTTAAAGGTGTCAAGAAGATCAATATCTCAACGATCACTAACTTTTTTTATTTCCTTCCCTCGGTGAAAGATCGTGGCTCCAGCCCTGGTCTGGTTATTTAGTCGAAGAAGGTAACTGGGTGTTACTTTATGAGAAAGAACCAAAAACTGCAAGTCACGGTCGTCGTCTAGCTGTAGATATAGTCTCAAAAATGAAAACTCACATTGTCTTCCTGACTGATGACACTGTGACAGAAATTCACGCTACGTCATTTGAGATTGTTGGAAGAAGAGTGCCGCAAATGGCATCCGTTCATCTACACTTAATGGAAACCGACCGTCTCAACGGTATGATGAGGCAGAGAGTTACCTCAAGAATGAACAGACACTGGAGTAACGGAAAAACCGAGGTGATATGGAAAAATCGAGGTTTAAAAACAGACACAGAGACGACCATTCTGAAAGCAGCATTCGCCGTGTACAAGCACAACGTTGAAAGGCCTAACATCCTAAAGCGTCATAAAGCGCGTTTCGATAGCTTCCAACACGCTGTCTGGGCAATATCCTCAAAGTGCGATGGCACCGTTTGAACAACTACGAACAGGGGCTGAAGAGCTGTGATTTGCAAACATTATCAGATGAGATCAGAGACCGGATGAGCCTGTTTGATTTGATAAAATGACCAGAAAAAAATCAAAATAAAGCTTCTCACTTTGAAATCGCGCACTGGATACTCCATTCGATGAAATCTAATCTGAGACAGTTTTTGGAGTTTTCGGCAAATAAAGAAGTTGCGGCTAAAGCGAAAGTTCTGTCAAACTGCAGTGGCCCTCGGGAAGACATCAATGCACTGGAGAACGGGCTTGTACTACTTCTGATCAAGAAGGGAGACCATGGGGAATGCTTTAATTAGCCCTCCGAAGTAAAGTCTAAGCAAAGATATCGCGGAATAACTTATCCAAGATACAAGAACAGCAGTGTGGCTTCCGGCCCGGTCATAGTTTACACAGTTAATAATAAAAAAGAAAAGTAAAAGATGAAACAGAACGACAAAGAGAAAGGGAAATAAAGAAGAAAGCGGGAACGGACGAGAATGAGAACAAAGCAATGATAGAAGAGGTAGAAGGAAATGAAAAAAAACAGGAAGACGGAGAACTAGAAAGAAAGAGTAGGCGAGGGGAATAGGGCAGAAACGAAAACTACATGAAATTTAAAGAAAAGGAAATGTAAAAAAAAACACAAGAACATATATTGCTTTGAACTGATTTAGAAGAACAGCACAAGTGGAAACATGCCATGCTAATTTATACAAAGCTACTTTCTACGCAAGACAGACGCAAGCGTTTGTACTAGCTGAAGGTAAGAAAATAATGTTTGATTGCTGCAAGTGAGACACCAGCAAACTGGATAACGGGAGTTATTGTACCCGTATTCAAGAAGGGAGACCACAAGGAATGCTCAAATTATAGGGGCATAACG